GCTGCTGCTGCTGCTTGGTAGCGGGTGCTGCTCCTGCTGATGCTGCTGCTGCTGCTTGGTAGCTGGTGCTGCTGCTTGCTAGCTACTCCTCCTCCTGCTTCTGCTGCTGCTTGGAAGCTTCTGCTTGCTGCCGCGGCCGCTGCTGGTTACAGTTATTGTTGTTGTGGCTGTTGCTGCTGCGGCGGTTGCTGGGGTGGTTGTGTGTTGCCATGTGTTGGCTGTGTTGGGGTCATATTGGGGGGGGCGCTGTTGGCACTCTCCTTTTCCCTTGGCCATGGCATGTTGCGATTCCCGGCCAGGCTTTTGCTGCCTAAAGAGCCCCAGCGTTGTTTATTTGCCTAGCTTTCGCCACCCCCCTCTGGGCCACAAGTGACCTTAAATAGGACCCGTCACCAGGGGTATATAGGATAGATAGGGTTCTTCAACCTTTGTTGCTAGTTCTTTGACCCGTCCATTCGCTCGTTCCTGGACGCTGCACCCTGAGCCAAAAATGCCGTCTCGCTGAGGAGTGCCGTCTCGCTCCCGGCTTCTGCCAGGCCGGCTTCTGCGCCAAATAATGTTTGTGGGCTCTTGATGAATAACATCCTCCATTATTTTGTGAAAAGCCTCTTCATATGGGGGGGGAAATTTAGGTGGGTGATTTAATCCAGAGTCTACGTTACTACAGTCCAGGCACGAGGCCTGGCATATGGCTGGCAAAAGCCTATAGGGGGTGGGAGCTTGTTCGCCGGGCGAGCATCAGATTAGTGGTCGGCTGATGTCTCTGAGAAGGCTGCAGACGTTGCACGCCGAAGGACCTGGTTCAAATTGGCTGGCGCCAGTCTTGGAGATCGTGTAGTTCGAGAAACCGCCAGCAATTGATGGTGTGGATATAACTGTGGGCTCTCTCCCAGTCAGGAACTCCCGGTGGAAGTTGGTACCTCCCCCCTGGATGGACTGAACGTCACGATTTTAACCTCCCCTGGCCGCGCACGGCCGCCATATCCACCACGCCGTCGCGAGGCATGGAAGCCCGACCCCAGGCGGGCGCTGGGCCAGTTAGAGGAGGTGGTTTGAATACAAATATATTAAGCTACTATTTTAGTTATTGCAGTTGACATTGTGTTATTGGACATGGAAAAGATTGCGATAGTGATTGGATTCGATATTATATCTTTGACCCACCTTAAAGATAGCATTATGAAATGAGGAGAACTTACATCCAAAAAAACACGTGGCGAGATTGGACTCAAGAGGTAGCCAGGTCAGGTAATCCATTCAGTCTTCCAGCCAGGTGACTAAACTGAAAGAATCCATTCTAAGTGGAAAGTCCCCACCACCTATACTGTATATACCTGTTGAATGATTCGGATGACTTCTTTGATCTCATCCGAAATCGAGATCATGTTCCACTTCCATGATTTCAGGGAGTGTAGAGTTTGATAGATCATCATAGATTCCGTGTGCGCTAACTTCCACCCACTGCATGCCAAGGTGCAAAGCACACACACCCAAAGGGACGATCGAGGTATGGTATGAGCAAGGTCGCAAGGTCTGTGTTTGCCTTTGAAGGATGTATCGCCGATCGCTATACCAGTCACCACGGAAAAGGGTGGTGGTTAGACACATGCACCTGACGATGGCCTCCGCCCGCGTCTCCAGGAGGACTGCCGCGTCTCCGCCAGCTGGGGAGCCGTGAAGTGGGATCCAACGAGCTCAAAGGATTGGTGAGTCACTAGAGTGGATCTTCCAATGGATGTTCTAGTGGAAGAGCCATTGGTTTTCGGACCAGTGACGTGCTATCATGACAAAGAACTTTGAATGAAAAGCTAAACAGAATTCCTTTTGAACTTGATGCGAACGAAGGCTCATTGTGACGGGTAGGTCTACACTTGCCCAGTCCCCTCCGTCGTCCCGCGGTCCACGTCGCGTCGTTGGATTTAAGCTTTCCAGGTCCCGTCGTGGCAGGACTATGACTAACTAAGAGGACTAGTAAAAGCAGAGGAGAGGAAGCTGTAAGTACTTCTCCTACTTGAGTATGGGCAGGTGTTTGCGATGGTCGTTATATGTCGTTATACGTTTTTTTGTGATTTCATTGCCAGCCTGTTCCTTCACCTTCATGATCTTCATGCCTCATTGCTAGAAACAGCTCCCAATTTGAGAGATCATGTTCAGTACCCACTCCAATGTCTTCGTGAAGAATGACGGTCCCAATGTGCTAGTTGGGAGGATGCGCCCGTTGCCCCCGTTTCGCAGAGCGAGGCGAGAAGAAGGCTTCCGCCGACCGGAAGATGCACAAGAAGAGGCGGAGTCCAGGGCGGCCAAATCAACGAGCTTGGAACTGCAAACCATGACGAGCTTGGCGTTGGGATCGGGATGAATTACATAGCTTAAGTGTTCCAGATGAACATGTTGAAGATGTCTGAAGACACATGAACTATACCATGTTACAGACGGGATACAGGGGTCTTGACCCACCCAACTGAGACCAGGCACGGACGACGGTCCCCAAGCTGAATCAACTCCCCCAGCTCCGACTCCAAGGCATCCGATGACCTCTTTGGTACTGGGAGAATCGTCGAATCTTCGCACAAAAGAACAAAGAAAAAACACTTTTCCAAAATCCCACAATTCCACCATTCCACGCAGGATCTGGGCTTGGATTCCATTATGTTGGACTCTTGTTTTGGACCCAAGCCAAGAGAGTCCAGCACTTATATCATGTTTGTTCCAAAGGGCGGCACCAAAAAGGACCAAAGAGCCCTGCGGTCGTCGACTGTGGGGCGGCACCTGATGGTTCGAGCAAAACCATGTGATTCATTCATCAAACAAAAAAGAAAAACACCATATATATCCCTGGGAGTCAAAGACTATAAAAAGAATGGTCTTTAGGGGAACTGAAAGGGAACTTCCTTTACTTCAGCCGGTCAAAATATAGTCTTTGGACTTCTAGGGTATATAGAACACAAATATAACTCTCCCTAGAGTCGAGTCCGACAAAATGTTTGCCGTAAAGGACGTTCCTGCAGTGCCAGAAACATCCGCTGCAACCGGCTTGCTTGAAACATCGCGCAAAAGGCCAAAGGCAGAAGGATCCATCTTAGCAGATTTGGAACAGCCTCTTCTATAGCCAGCTTTATTAGAATAAGGGGCGCCAGAAACTGTGTCCCATGAATCATAGATAGTGAGATCAAGTGACTGAGATCAAGTGGGTCATCCTTTCCACTTCATTATGCCCATCCATTTGGACGCCCCGACCGTCTCCGGACTCGTTCCGTTCTGGGGCAGGTCGAAGATCACGGTGCTGAAGGGTTTGCTTCCCGGCGAGGTCCGGCGATGAAACCGCGGAGGGAGGTTCCTGCGGTGCCCAGACATGACCGATGGGACTGGACTGCACACCTATTGATCAAAATGGATCCCTGAAATCAACCACCCCGGTCGGCCATTTCGAAGGCAGCTCTGCCAGTCCCATCAGTCGTGTTTGGGATATTCGCTGCGATGTGAGGCTCGAGGGAATTCTGTGGAGCCTGATGCGAATTGATCCAGACTCCCACAATAGCCAGAGGATCATCCTGTTCCAGAGCCAGAGGTGGAGCCTGCTCCACACAAGCGTGGCTTCGGGGTTAACACATACCCCACCTGTGAAACTCAGTCTTCCTGAAACAGGACGATCATGAAACAGACAAAAAGCGCTCCGTTAGTGATGGTGGAGAACACGGATCCAACATGGATCTTGGCAAACTCACCATGAAAAGGATTTTCCAAATCTTCAGGTCAGATCTTCTTAGGCACTTTCCTTTTTGGCCTTGATCCGCTGAAAAAACCGTCTTCCGCTTCTCGCACGGCAGAATCCGGTGCCAGGACTCCGTGCGGGTCGCTGCGAAGCAGGCCTTGGAGCAGTTCGGGGAGCCCGATGAGCTCCTCGGCCGAGCTCCGCCGATGCGGCGGCGGCGCAGGGAAGAGAACCTTATGGGGACACCCCGTCACGTCCGTCACGGTGGACAAAGCGGCTGCCTGGCTGTCCGGTGTGTTTGTTGTGCGTCACGGAGCGAAGTTGGGGTATTGTCATGGCTGAAAAGTGGTCAGTATGACTCGACCCAATTCACCACTTGAGAGCCACCTGATATGAATTGACCTATAGTGCCACTAATTAGCTACTATAGTCGTTCTAGTCTTTCATGGCGCTTTCCCTGAACTTTGACTTATGTTACATCATGTTACATCATCTTACCCCACCTGGCAATACCTGCAGTCACGATCCACCACTACATGTGCAAGGGGTAAGAATGAGTCAATGACTGGACTCTTTGGCTTTGAAGACCACATCGTCCCTTTCGCAGGAAGCACCCGCCACCTGCTTGACCAAACGGAGCGAAGAACCGATTCGTCGAAGACCCGACGAATCTCAGATCCAAATCCACCTGAATCTGGCTGAAGGGCTTCCATCCCAAGAAATCAGTTGAAGAAAGACAAAGTACTTTGGACGACCACAAGGAGCTTTTTGTGGTCGTGGGCCCCCTCCTTTTGGAACCATCACGCCAAACGCTCGAGACTCCGCAATGCGCCGAGGCCAGTGCAGGTGGTGGATCTGGGGAATGCCACTTGGCCGTTACCGGCGGCGGGTGCTAGTCTCCACTGGAAGCATGGGGGACTGCGTAGTGGAATGTGAGTTTCTTTCTGGTAAAGTGGCCTGACTGGATGTTTCATGATGTGTCGGTTTCCAAGTGTCGATGTGTTTTCCAAAAAGTATTGAATGATGTTGGGTCTAAAGTCTAAATGACAAGTCGTTTGCTATGCTGGGTGTTTAATGCATGCGGGCAGTCTCACACATGCCGTGCTTTAATGGGAAATCGAGGGACCAAGTGAGATGAAATGACAATGCCAACTAGATGTAGTGTGAGAGTACAGTGATGTAGTTGAGCATTGAACGACCCTCTAACTCCAACAAGTGTTGTTGAGTTGTAGTTGAGGGTGTCCTACATTCCAAGTGTTACACTCGCTGAAAGCATCACGGAAGTGGACTCGCTGCTGGGTAGACACCCATTGTTGTGTATACTGTATACTTCGAAAGGTGTGTTGTTGCGCCTGGGACGCCAGCCGAAATGGCTTGAACCATCACTAACCCCTGATGTTTCATCCATCTCTCTGGGGACGACCTTCCAAGCCCCTCATCTCCGAGGTCCTCAGCCAGATCGACCTGTGGCAGAAGCATTTGCCCAACGTACGGCCGCACTACGCGGTGAAGTGCTGTCCGGATAAGCAGGCGATGCTGCAGAAGCGATGCAAAAGCGATGATGCCTTGCAGGAGTTGATTGGTTGCCTATTTATGCTTGATGGTGATGCTGTTGGTTGAGAGGATTTGGAATTGTAAGAGCTTTAACTACATGATACTACATATGTTTGCTTCCGTCATGCGATTTGGGATTTGTTTTTTGGACGAAAGCAGCTAGCTACGCTCGTTTTCGACCTGGCTGACCGTGTCGGACGACGCGTCACGGAGGTTCCGTCCATCGGAACGCGTCGGCATCGCTCCGGCAGATCATCAAGCAACTTCTGGACGGCGGATGTGGGTTTGACTGCGCGACGATGCAGGACGGGGTTGGTGATGATGTTTGGGTTTTGTTTGGTTTGGTTGTGATCAGAGCTGGTGACTTTTGGTGTTTTTGGGGCTGGTTTTCGGCTGGTGACTGAGCGGGTCGGATGCGGATGTCGCGCGAGTGAGCAGGCACCACCATGGTTCTTCTTTGGGCACAAAGACCACCAAGAATCCCAGAGTGGTTGGTGAAGAATCTTCGTATCCAGAACCCGAAGTCATTGCCGCTGGCGCAAACATGGCACGGCCCGCCGACGGCAGGAAATCAATACCGTCCTGGCGCTGGGTGTGAACCCGGAAGATATTGTGCCACTGGGCCAGGATCAGTGCGAGGTGGAACTCCGGTGGAACTCCATTGCTGGCCCTTCCTTGCGATGCCACATCATCCATGCGATTGCAAGCAAGATATGCGCTTGCAATACTTGAAAGCAGACTGGACCCACTATATACCACTATTCACTATTCCCTCTGAAACAAACTGCGGTTTCGACATCTTTCAATGATTCTGCTCATGTTCCCTCTCCCTGCCACCCACTGAGGTATTCGCATCCCTGCAAGCCGCGCTCGCACATCGCTTTTGCCAAGTCTCAAGGCGCGGCGCGCACGACGTTTTTGCAGCGGCAGGTGGACCACCTGGGACCCGGGAAACCCACGAAACAAGAACTGCCTGCAGGTGGATTCGTTCTTCTTCTTCCTTGATTCTCCAGGGAAACTAGGGGAGTCAGAAAGGGATGGCTTTCGGACCCCTTTGTGGTGGTTTTTGAGGCATTCTGAGGCACCAAGGTCGCTCTAGCCGCCGCCAGCGAGCACCGTTTGACACCAAGCTCCGGGGAGACTTTTGGGGGCGCAGCCTCCAGTGGTCTCCACATCAACAGCAGCTCCGCCATTTGCTTCCTCGCAGGGATCAGCCTCATGTCCTTCGACAACGACGTGGAGCTTCGCAAGGTCGCTGCCGTGTGACCCGTCGACGTCGACGACGACGGGCGGGTCCCGGGAGAGGGCCAAATGGACGCGAACGGCGGAGGCGAAGAAGTGGAAGAAGTGTTTTGATTGTAAGAGAGACCCTTGCAAGTCCAGTGTGCAGCAAGTGAGCAGCCAGGTTTTTTGTTATACTGATGTTACTGTTCGTTTTTGTTTGTAACATGGCAATCTTTGCAATCTTCCGAGCTAGTTTGATCGATGTTGCATTCAACAAATGCAACTTTGACCCCCTGGCCCGATCTATGGCAAGTGCCAGACCTTTCTGAGAAGACAGGGCAGCCGTTTGGTCATTTCAACATCACTGTGAAGTGCAGAACTTGAGTTTAATCATGTTTGATTTTTGAACGTGGGTTGTCGTACAAGAGAGTGACGGTCGGGCACCGCAAAACGTACCCGAAACCTGGTGTGTGCGTGTGTGAGTCTTCATCAGCTGTTGCCACCACAAGCTAGAAAGAGCAGAGATCCCGACAAGTGTGTTCAAAAAGGTCATTTCGATCTGGATGCTAATTGTAATGAATGTAGACTATTGACTCACAACTCATAAACCCACCAATTGGGATTGCAACACCTCTTCATACATGGGGGGATTGAAAAAGAAGTAATCCGTCTACATTGACTCAAGTGGGTGCGAAGGTGTTGAGTGTATCGCTTTGCTTCGCGCGCCTGCGGGCGCACGGAGGTACCCGGAAGCTCAGCTTCTTTTGAGAGTCGTTTGCGAGGACGGGCGACGACCAGACGACGTTTTGAACAGACGATGGTTTGAAGTCGATGGGTAATTACTGGGGATGACCTGCAAGTTCGCAGGAAGTAAAGGTGCTTTTTGTGACGCAAGTTTCGATCTTTACCACTGTCTTTCAGGGAAAAAAGATGTATGTTATTACACGTTCCACAGTGGCGAGGTCAAGATGTTGCCACTTGCTTTTTTCAGAACGCATCAAGTTTGCTTGGGATGTACAACAAAATAGATCAGAAGCTTGTGGTCCAGTGGTTCAAGCTATGCCTTCCCCAATCCGTCAGACCAAGCTGGGTGAGGAGTTTTCCAGGTATGTGGACCATCAATTTAGAGCAGTTTTCGAGAGGGAAACAACCAAGGGTTCCTGATGTCTTTGGGGGGATGAAGCATTTTTCATTCCTTCCTCATCGAGAAACGAAAGACCAGCCATTGGCCACACCGAAAAGACCGTCGTCCCCTACATCCTCCCTCGCGTCACGTCGCGTCCCCATCCCGTCGTCCCTCGCAGGACTCCACGGCCCAATGTCCCATGTCCCTGAAGTTCGGCGCTAAGAGCACCAACTGGGACGAGCTCCTGCGAATCATCCAGGAGCCGCGCGCGTAACCGGTACGCGACACGGTACGCGAGGTATGCGCGACGCAGCACACGTGTCACACGCGATCGGGCGCGTTTGATGTTTGTCGTTGGAGTTGATGGTTCCCTCAGAAGCCTGTAAGGGTGTCCCAATAATCTATATGAACGAACCAACCTTCAATCCTTCCGCAGATACTGATCCAGGCCAAAACACCCCAGACATGTGAGCTCCTCGGCTTTGACGTTCTGACCACCATCTTGACTAATTCTATCTCGTCAAGACCGAAGCTTCTAACAGCTCCGACAGCCGGAGGAGCTAAAGCTGAACTTGGCTGGTGTGCTGGGGCCTCAGAGGGGGAAAAACGAAGTCGGGATTCAATCCAAGTCCACACAAGAGCGGACCTAACGCGCATTGAGGGAAAGGCAGTCTCGTGCATGGCAAGCTGTTCTGTTTTTAGCGCCGTATGGGAATTCCGCGTGTGGGGATGAGGAACACAAAGTGGCAAATTGATGGTAAACCTTGCAGAACAGAATGACAAGAGGATCAAGGAACTCTTTACTTTCGGTGCTGGTCTGGCCCAGAAGGGCACAGTCACGTAGGTGCTATCCTTAGGACACTCATGCTGTCGAAACCAGTCCTATCAGGTCCTATCAGCAACCTGGGTCATTCTCTCAAAGTGCTGAGTGCCGAGCTGACGTTTGAGCCAAGCCAGATCTCTCCAGCTGTATTCTGCCTGAGTTCGGACTCAGGGCAGCCAAGTGACCAACCTGGAACTCCGGTTGGCTCAAAAAAAATACGTACCATTCATGACTCGTTGAAATCCGCTGCGATTGGAGGCTGTATTCGGTGTGTTTTTCCACTACACGGAAGTCATTCGCAGGTGTTGATTGTTTGCGACCCTCCGTAGTAGTACACTGACCCTCCGTGCGCGTCGACCTCTCCAACCGCCACCGGTCGATGCGGACGAGCGCCCAGGTCGTTCCATGTCGGCTCAGGCCGTGTGGAGTGGGGAGTCGGGCGGTGCAAAGGGTTTTGTGATGGAAAGCTAAGCCAAAACTAGAAGGTCCTCACCCCAAAGATTGTCACGAACATTTGATTTAAAAACAATAGAAAAAGAAGAGAACTTACTGTATGTCATCCCAACAATGGAACAGAATGGAACCAACTAGTCCAAATCCGACCCCAATTGGCCTCCTTAGCAAATGACCTGCCCTTCGCTTCCTTCGCGCTTCGCTCGGCGTCTTCGCCTCGCCAGGCTGCAACGACCCAGAGAGTTTCGAGCAAGCCCTCACCGATGCCAAGGAGGTCTTCAGCCCCTTAGCGAAAGCAGACAGCGACACCGACCCATGTCCTCTTTGTCACCGAATTGCATGTGTTTTGTTGATTGCAAAAGAGCTTAGAGCTCTTTTTCTTGCTTGCGCCATCCAGTTGGGCTACCTTGGAAGCGCAGCTGTTTTGCACGAAGATTGTGCCTGAGTGGCAACACATTCGACATTTTACGTGGGTCATGGATCTCCGACGCCGCTACTCATCTTCCAGGGCGCCCGAGGCTGATGCAGAGGGCTCAGCGGCGGAAAGGAGTCCGGAGAGCCAGTCGTTATGGTCACTAGTGTCGGCTGGTGCAGATGGCCACGAGGACACCTCAAACATGTCTCATGATCTCCTCAGTTGGCAAAAGGATATTGGAATCATATTTCTAGGTTTTGTATTACTATGTATTACTTAAGGAGCTCTCCTGGTGTTGATGTGTTTCAATTTGCCTTTTAGGGGTTCAGCTTAGAATGTCCTGCGCTCGTTGGGCAGGAGAGCCTTGATGCACCAACCTCGTCAACAGCAGAGCTACTTCAGACGATTGAGGGGTACGTGAGGGCTGGATTTCAAGATACACGAGTCTTGGAAGCACAGCCTGACTTCATCAAGGATGTGGTGAAAGTGCCATTTCAGCTCATCCTCACACACTGCTGCGTGATGCTGGGTCCCTCGGGTGCTGGCAAAACGACACTGTGGAGTGCCTTGGGTGGAGACAAGTTTGAAGCCAACGTTCAACCTGGACCTCATTTGCGGAACAGAACAAAGAACGCACAAGCTGGTGAACTTCCAGTTCTTGCAGAGGATCTCCAGCTTGTACTCATTGACACACAAGGGTGGAGCCCTGAAACGAGCACAGACATCAAGTCGCAATACAAACAGATCTTGAAAGAGAAGCAGCTGGTCTCAGAACACACTCCTCACATCATCATGTTCTGTGTCCCAGTGTCCTCCATCCGTCAGTTCCAAAGCGATGAAGCAAAGAAGATGAGCAAGCAATTGCAAGAGTTGAAGTTTGACAGACGCTTTCCGATCACAGTCCTTCCAGTTGCCACCAAGGCAGACACAGAGGACCCAAGTCAACTACCAGAGCTTTTGTCTACCATCAAGCAGCTCGCACAGACGGCCTTCCAAGGTAGTGGAGCTGAAGTTGAAGAACCTTTATCTACCCAGTTTTGGCCAGGAGGCCAACCACATGGAGCGGAGGAATTGAAAGAGCGGCTTGAGCAAGTGTTGGATAGCCAGCTGTGCTCTCCAGAATTCCGCGGCCTTTGGCAAAAGGCTTTGGCTGAGAGCGTGATGACAAAGACTGAGGAGCATTCCGAGAAGTTCCCAGAGAATGACTCTGCTCAGCGATTGTTCAGGAGGGCTTGCTGCACCGTTGCGGCCTCTTGTGGGAAGGATTCTTCAGGGTTGGATGACATTTGCAGCACCAGAGCAGAGGATTTGCCCTGGCCAATGATTGAGGACATTCCGACCGCCAAAGGGCAGAATTGGAGGTTTCGTCTCATTTGGTGTCGTCCACGAATCCTGCAGATGATTTTGATTGTCATGCTCATTGTCATTTGCTTTCTTGGTCTCGCATGGATTCGAACAGAAAGGCTTGAAAAAGCAGAAACCGTCAAGAAGGTACATGACATTTCTCAGGACTTGGGCGAAATCATTGAGAAGGAAACAACCTTCAGGCAGCAAGCAGAGAAGGAACGCGATGACCTCAAGAAAAGGGCAGATGACATGACGAAGGAGCGCG